ATACAACGATTCTAAAAATAAAACGACATTTGATATGCTCATTCTTCAACTATTATCTAATCAATTGACGCGTTCAACAGTTATGATTTACTCGATTATTAAGATTTATGACTCGGATTAAATAATGGAATGCAAAGAAGGGCTTCGTCATGAACCTTTTTTCATCATTTAACTCGAAGAACCATGGGCGCATCCATGAAAGTTCCGTTCCCTAATAATTTGAGAATGGATTTCGTTCTATTTATTCTTCTTTTCGTATGGTCTCTTTATTAGTTACTATAGACAAAGCTTCTTTTGTGATAACTCGTCGCGTGCTACCGAAACTTCTCAATACCTCATCCTCTCCAAACGTAACTTCTTTATTTCGTGATGACACTATCTGTTCTTGAATCCTCGCGTTGTTGACATCCAATTCATCTTTATCCATACTTACATTCATTATCACAAAATTAAATGTATTAATGATGAAAATGAATAATAATAGTGACGACGGTTCGTAAACAATAAATAAGCCCCGTTTTTCGTATGTTTGAGCAAAGATAATGTTAAAATACCGAGGAGTGCAAAAGATATGAGATCTCATCCGAAACGTTGAGAAGGTAATCAGTCAAGATATCAAGCATCAGAATACCTGGTGTAACGGATTGTATTCTGCAGCAGATGTAAAAGAATCTTTGAAAATCAAGAAAGGATAAATAGATCTGTTACGCAAGAACAGGCAATGCAAATAAATACCTTAGACAAAAGTGCTCAGGCTACGAACGAATGAATTCTTAACAAGAACAATACAAAGACCGTGGTGCTTGGTTCGGATGTCAACGTTAATGACACCGAATCCGATGAGCTTGCCGAAGACCTATTATCGATCGTTAATATTTCTTCGGCAAGACACAATGGACTCAGATCAGCCGAGAACCGAAAACGATTAAACACGAAGAATACGGATTTATCAATGTCCGAAGAGAGAGGAAAATTAAGAAAATAGATGGGAACTGTGAGATCGACGTACAACAAAGTTCTTGAGATGGTACAAGACGATGGAATCAACGACATGAGCGTTATACGAAGGCACTAACTGAATGATAAGTGCTTCACAACTGAAGAACTTCTCTGGGTAAAAGGGCCCACTATGGAATTCGTTTGCATGTGATTAGAAAGTTGATGGCTCTTATAAAACAAATAAGAAGTTGCATGGAAATGATTTTCGAATGAAGTACGATCGAAGAAGGATCAAACACAAATGATCTCGAACTTTTCTAGGGATTGGCATGGGAAAAGAGGGAAATACGCGTTCCTAAAAACTATTATCATCTCAGAACGATCACCAGATATAAATAAATGTAATTAACATAACTATTAACCAAGATGATGTTCAGGGAAAGGTAATCTCGTTCGATCCAGGTGTTCGCACGTTTAAGACCGGTTACGACCCTGACGGTCAATTAATTGAGTGGGTAACGGTGATTTTAATAAAACATTCAAATTATCCAAGAAATATGACAAATTACAGAGTGACAAAATCTTGATTTGGAAAAAACAAACAAGAAAAGGAGATTTCGATTAAGAAGAATCATACAATGAATCTGTAACTTAATCTTGGTGGATTAAAAACGTTTAAATGTAATTGCTCAAATATTTATCGGAAGGATTTGAACCTATATGGGATATAATATACATAGGAAAGATTTACTTTACTTATTTATTCATATTGGATTCAATTTCAAGGATAGTTATGCCGATAATGATTTTCTAACATCAAGAACTAGACTTTTGTTGTTTGTGTTACATCAATTGTTGAATGATAGTGCAATCAACCGCTTCACGAATGAATGCCAAAACATTTCATCTCCGCTTTTTCGGGCTTGGATCAATGTGTCAACATAAAATTGTAATTGATGATATACAACCATAGAACATGAAAATCAAGTCAAGGCTATATAGTACTGTAAAAGGAAAAAAAATTAAATGTCTCGTGTCACCATTTGTTTTCTATGAGAACGAACTGTAGTTAAAGCCTAGCAGGGTTCAAAAATAAATAAATAATAAACTCCGTGTAACGGATTTCTTGATGATGAAATTACGTCTAACCATTTGTAAATTTCCGACATTCGAGTCGTTAATAATGATAATATGAATTGCACGAGGTTGAATTTCGTCTAAACAAAAAGGTTTTTTTGCGAAAAATCCTTTCCTTTGATGTCACGTGTTTTACCGAATTCATTATTAATAAAAATCACTCGATGAATCCAAGTCTCAACTATTTTTATTTCACTTTAATTCTATTTAAAAAAATAAAACGCGACTCTATAATTTAATCATATTAATCAAAAAAATAAATAAAAATTAGAATTTTGTGATTACAAAATTTCTACTTCATCCGATTGTCAAAATGTCAGAGAAAATTCCACAGGAATCTGAAATGATTGAGAAAGATGAAACCATGATGGTGGTCGACATCTACGAAAAATTGGATACTTACACCAATGAAGCAACAATCAATGATTCAATAAAAAATGATGACGGTGGGCCAGTGGTGCAAATGTCGAGAACCAAATTTGTCCTAGTGTTCGTCGGGTAAGCTTCCGAGAAAGACGAAATTCACATTGTTTTTTTTTTGCCATTGATTAAAATATCTATTACGAATTTGCTTCAATTTTTTTATTCTTCGCTATCTTACTTCCATTTTACGCCGTCGCCTAGTCTCACTTTTGGTCTTTTCCTAGCGGCTTTAGATATGACCATCGTGGCCACAGCCTTGTAGGTTTATTTCATTATTATTTCTCTTTTGATTGATCGACTGATAATATTTTTTGAACTCAGGCCAGCAATTATTACTGAATTCAACGCGTTGGACGATATTTCCTGGGTGGGAACGGCGTATTTGCTAACTGGGGTAACTATTGTTCTAACGCGTCTCTTTAAAGTAAAAATCATGTGATATAAAGATCATTGCTGTTAGACCGCTGTTCAACCGACTTACGGAAAAATATCCGACATTTTCGGACGGAAATCCACATTTCTGGGGGCAATTATTATATTCGAGCTGGGATCTTTATTGTGTGGTTTATCGACAAATATGGTCCGTATTAAAACTTCGATTTTTTGAGTTAACTTCGGAACATAACTAATGATTTTTGCCTTATCTTAGACTATGCTAATTATTTCCCGTGCAATCGCCGGCGTAGGGTAATAATAATTTTTTTGAAAATTTTATTTCTTTCGCTTTTCACTGATCTAATTTTATACATCATATTCAGTGGTGGTGGAATTTTCGGGTAAGATTATCGCACTTTATCCGTGTTTTTTGCATCATTCTTCCATGCTTATATCCAATTTCTCTTAATAATGCGCCAGCCTCGTATTCATTATAATATCAGAAATCGTACCAATTCAAGACCGTGGAAAATATCAAGGGATAGTTGGTGGATGTTTTGGCTTTGCGTCCGGTAATTACGTGTTTTTTTTATTCCTCCACACAAAATTAACCTATTCAAATATTAAAAAATCTTCTTTAAATGTCTAGTTGTCGGTCCACTTCTCGGAGGTTTATTCACGGATCACGTCACTTGGAGGTTTGCGGAATTCCTACTTTTTCGTATTTCATATTAATCTTATATTATTTTTTATTTCTCTCTATTTATTTATTTATTTATTTATTTTCACTCATATTTATTTTTTAAAAAAATTTACATTGCATTGCTAGGTGGACATTTTATATAAACCTACCGCTGGGTGCTATCACGGTTATTTGTGTGACGTTCGTCCTTCATCTACCGCACCCTAAGGGATCTTTTCGACAGAAAATCAAACGCATAGACTGGTTAGGTACTGTTGTCGT